AGCTCCCTGCTCAGTGGGGAGCCTGCCTCTTTCTCTCCCTCTGCCCCTCCCACTGGTTGTGCTTGTTCTCTCTCTCTCAAATAAATAAAATCTTTAAAAAAATAAATAAAAATAAAAAATAAAAAGATTCATGTATTTCTCAAAGGAGCAAGAAGAAAAGAATTTACAAATTTTCTACAGAAAATAATCAAAGAGAAGTGAAGAGGGAGTTTTTTTTTCCCATTTTGCACCAGGGAAAATTAATTTTTTTCTTTTTCAATTTGTATTTACCTTTACCGTTGTCTCAAATAAAAAGCAAACAACACAAAAAATGTAAAGTATAAAAAAGGAGAATGGTTGGGGAACTGGGTGGCTCAGTTGGTTGGGTGTCCAACTCTTGATTTCAGCTCAGGTCATGGTCTCGGGGTTGTGGGATCAAGCCCCACCTCAGGCTCCACACCCAGTGTGGAGATTCTCTTTCTTCTCCCTCTGCCTCTCCCTGCTTGCTCTCTCTCTAAAAAATAAAAAAAATAAATAAGGAGAATGGTTTCTTTTATAACTTAAATATTAAATCTGAAAGCAATCCTGAAAATGTTGTTCCGGAGAGTATTTTTTAAAGCAATGTTAGCATTATTGGGCTCCCAAAGATGATTGCTGCTAGAAAAGAATACTTTGGGATGTGTGTTTCCTGACATGATTGTTTAAAAACCCATTCTTTTAATTCACTGTTATCTCCATTATGGATAGATGATGTCTAAATTCTTTGATAAAACCGTAAATAGGACATCTTGTTTATTTATTGTGCAGTCTTACTCTAGAAGTATATGGTGCTGATTCACTCCATCTGTATTTCCATAACATACTTCCACTGTAACCTTTGTTATGTTATAGTTAATAAAATAAATCTTTAAGAATTAGAATTAAAACAATTGAATAATTGTTTCAAAATTGATTATGTAATAGCTAGGTAGTTGATGTTAACACACACATCAAAGTGATCTATATTGCTTGGTTAATTTACTTAATTTTATTCTAACTTTCTAGTCACTAATTATAAAGTTATAAAATCCATAAAACAATTTCTGATAAACATTTCCTTATTCCATTCTAGAGGAATCAGATTGTTATTTGACTCAAATTAGGTAGAATATTGCCTTCTGAAATGATAATTACATGTTTACTTAACAGTAGAGAAATTGGGAGTAAAAAAAAAAATGGAAAATCTGGCTTAAAAGTTTTTTTTCATTTCCTGCATGGACCATATTGCTAGAAAGCCATTTTATTAAAAAAATTTATTGAGGTATAAGTTTATTCCAATAAAATATATCTGTTTTGGGACTCCAACCCCCCCTTTAAAAAAAAATATTTATTTATCCATCCTAGAGGTGGGGGCAAGGAGCAGAGGAAGAGGGAGAGAGAGAATCTTCTTGCTGAGTGTGGAGCAGGACATGGGGTTCCATCCTACCACCCTGAGACTATGACCTGAACCGAAATCAAGAGTCAGACGCTTAACTGACTGAGCCAGCCAGGTGCCCCAGAGAAGCCCTTTTTTAAACCACTGAAAAAAGTCCGTCAATCTATATCAAATAGCCTTCAGTTAAAATAATCTGGTTGGTTGCTATGGCTTTGAACATAGTTTAATGTAAAATAGTGCCCTGGTTCTCATGGTGCGGTCCACAGGCTAGCGATGTTGGTGTTACCTGGGATCATGTTAGACTTGAAACTCTCTACCTTGCTCCAGACTTGTTTAATCAGAAACTCTGGGAGGGGCCTAGAAATCTGTGTTTTAATAAGTCTGCCAAGTATTTCTTTTTTTTTTTTTTAAAGATTTTATTTATTTATTTGAGAGAGAGAGA